CATCCCTCATCCTGCTGCTTCTGCAGCACCCAGCAGCCATCGCCAAAATCCAGCAGGAGCTGTCAGCGCAGGGGCTGGGGACCGCGTGCAGCTGCGCTCCCAGGGCCTCAGGACCGCGACCCGACTGCGGCTGTGAGCCGGACCTTAGCCTGGCGGTGCTGGGCCGTCTGCGCTATGTCGACTGCGTAGTGAAGGAGGTGCTGCGCCTCCTACCGCCGGTGTCCGGGGGCTACCGCACTGCGCTGCGCACCTTTGAGCTGGACGTAAGTGCGCCGCACCGCGGGCCTGTAGATGCTTGCAGCCGCGCTGGGATGGGAGGAGGGCAGGGGGAATTAGGGAAGAGATCTCTTTCACCTGCCAGGGCCTCAGCTTTCCCTCCTGTAAAATGGGCTGAGCCCTATTCTATTTCCTGGATTCTTCTTCCTCCGACTCTAGTAGACACATGCAAAGCCTAGCGCCTGAAGAGTTGGTTAGGTTAGAGGTTTTATATACAGTTTTTGCCAGTGATCCAGCTAGGTCAGTTCAATTAGAACTGAGTTTTAGAACGCAGACATTTTTCTCTGAGCCGCACTTCTAGCAGCCAATGTATGAGCTAGAAGGCAAAGGCGGTGCCCTACTTCTCTGATTCTGTCAGAAGACTAAATAGCCACTCATTGTCACCTGTCCAGGGCTGGGACTTAGAGTCTATTTCTGGGAAATGCAACAGCCTTAATATAAAGAACAAAATCTTACTGGTTTTTTCATCCAGCTGCCCTTGGTTGGACAAGGTTAAGAACCAGGCCCGACTATATCTCAGAATAACCTCGGGCAGTTCTCCCTTTACTGTGGGTCTCAGTTTACCTTCTGGGAGGAAGTTTGTTTTTTTCAGCTCTGATACTCCGTATGAGGTGGGAGTGTTTGATGAATTGGTGATTTTGAGGTTTGGGGAATTCACAGCAGAACTTGAGGGCCTCTACCTGAAGAGCTTTGCTGCAGGACCCTGAGCAAAGGGTGTGTGTGTGTGTGTGTGTGTGTGTGTGTGTAGGGGTGTCATTGAAGAGACTGAGATTCTGCCCACTGGGAGCTCCATGCAGAGAGGGAGGGGATCAAGACCATGGAGTGAAACAGGGAGATCTCTAGTGTTGGATGATACCAGACAAAGAGATAAACTGCCCAGAAGGGGAACTGCCCAGTCTAAGGCTGTACTGAGAAGAGACCTGGATGCTTACACTTGATGCCGCGGGGCTGATGTGCCCAGGAAAACAGAAGAGAAACAGAGGACCAGGCAGCTTCCAGGGCAGTAGATGGAGCACAGGGAAGGTCCTACTCATTACCCTCTGCTGTGCAGATGGGGAAACTGAGAGTTAGAGAGGAGAGAACATCCCTAGTGAGAACTTGAATAGTTCTCTTCCACAGGCTTCAGAAAACTGCTCTCGTTTGAGGGACAGGTGGCATTATAGTTCAGGAATTGAAGACAGGAACAAGCATAACAGGAGGGGAATGTAGGTCAGTGGCAGGAGCTCATTCCTAGCGCCAATGAGGCCCTGAGTTTGCAGTACCCAGCAGGGGGTGATGGAGGGGGTGGTCACCCGGTTAAAAGGGCTGAGGGTGGGGTGGGCAAAGAGGGTGTGCATCCTCTTAAAGCGATAACCATAAGGTAGTAGTATTGTCCAGAGGTGAGTGAGAAGGTGGGGAAGTCTTTAGTTAAATGAAAGGAAGGATTTTATAATTAATTGAACTGATTCCCAGTCAGTTTGGGGTGTTTCAGCTCAGACAGCTGGTAGCTACATTCTTACAATGTAAGTCTCTTGTGTCAGAAGAAAACAGGAAGAGAAAGCCAACAAACTCATAAATAATTTTCGATCTCATGAGTACTAGAGCGTGCCAACCTCCTCTTTAAATTCCCTCAACAACGTGGACATTTTTTAGTCTTACTTTTCCCAACTAAAAAAAAATGGGGGTGGGAGGAAGCAGTCCAAGATCTTACAGCTCACCAGTGAAGGCGCCGAGATTGCAACGCATATCATCTGGCTTCAGGATTAATTGATCACGGGCCCCTGGAGGTTTATTTGGCGCTCCTGGGGAGAGGCGCACGGGGCGGGGTAGGCTCCAGCCATTTTCCCCTGTGCTTAGCGATCAACACGGTCCCCTCGCTTCGCAGGGTTACCAGATCCCCAAAGGCTGGAGCGTGATGTATAGCATCCGAGACACGCATGAGACAGCCGCAGTGTACCGTAGCCCGCCCGAGGGCTTCGATCCGGAGCGCTTTGGCGTGGAGAGTGAAGACGCCCGGGGCTCCAGTGGCCGCTTTCATTACATCCCGTTCGGCGGCGGCGCGCGCAGCTGCCTGGGCCAGGAGCTAGCGCAGGCGGTGCTGCAACTGCTGGCCGTCGAGCTGGTGCGCACCGCGCGCTGGGAGCTGGCCACACCTGCCTTCCCCGTAATGCAGACGGTGCCCATCGTGCACCCGGTGGACGGGCTGCTGCTCTTTTTTCACCCTCTCCCAACTTTGGGAGCAGGGGATGGTTTACCCTTCTGACACGCTGCTTCTCCAGCCTTGGCTTCCCCAGCAGCTGCTGCGCACACGCAGCGCCGCTAATCTTCAGCGCCCTAGGTACTCACCGCGAGTATATTCACGGAGTCACGGGTTTAACAAATGCTTATGAGACAACGCTGCTAGACTGGAAATAGTAGAATAAGACACAAACACCCCAGTGGAGAAGCGCTGGGCTTGGGGAAAGAGAGAAGGAGGCATGCCCCACACCGTAGGTACGTAGGTACGTTACAAGATCTCAAAGCAGCCTGCGTCGGAGAGAACCTATTTCCACTAAATGAAACCTGGCTTCACCTTACTGTGGCAAGTCCGCAGAGAGTTTAGATATTGGGCCCTGGCGGTGGCTGCAGTGATGGTGATAGGTATTTCTATCAAACTAGAAGAGAATTTGCAACTTTTTAAAGTTAGCAGAGATACCAAAATGGTTACCACACGGATCTGATGTTTGTCCAAGAGACACACCACACTGAGAGGGCTCCAAAGCTTCTACTGCCTCAGTACTAGCAGATTCGACTAGAGACTTTTGAAAAGAAAAATTCCTACTTAATGAAATTATTTAATATCCTCATTTATATAGAAGATACTATGTTCTCTGGGGATGTCTCTAAGTCTGGTTCATGTGAGGTGGAGACAGACATAATCCCTTCATGGGAGAATTGAGATAAACAAGAGATTTGAGATATTTGTACCCAAACAGGAAGGCCAAGAAATAACATTTCCTGCTAGTGGCTGAGCAAGGAGATTGGGGTTCATTTGGGCAGCTATTCCCCTGGTGTGACGGCCAAGGGTGGAGAGGATGGGGTACAGAGACATCTCTGTACCCAAAGGGTCTAGAAGTTGGGCAGCCTCAGTCCTATGCTTCCCTCTGGACCACAGATCTGGATGCTGGGTTTTGGGGCATCTCTGCACTGTCTGGCTGCAGACTCGTTCTGTTTACTGCTTCACTCCCCTCACTATTACTGAGAAGAAACTGAGGAGAGACAGATGAGGACCCACCACTGTCCTGTACCTTCTTCCATCTCTCGATTCTCCTGCCCCACCTCTGAGCCCCTGCCACCTATGGAATTCAGCCCTTTTGCTTTTCATAGCTATCCCTAAGCTAAAGGACTCCCTGGCCTTTCCAATCCAGCATGTTCCACCACTGCTTAAATCAAAGCCACTACCATCTGCCTTCATCCTCCAAAGCCTGCTTCAACCTGCCATCCACGGTACCATACTGCTGGGCAAGGCGACATAACCGACATAACCTGGTGAGCCAGGGAAGCTGCAGCTGGCCTCGGCTGACCCTGTAGGAGGAAGTCGATCACCTCCTGACCTTATACTTGAACCCACATATAAAACGGATCCTGGGGCTTGAAGGCAAGGGGGAGATAAGCTGGTACTTGAAGGTTAGCAACTGTTGAGGTTAACATCACTATAACCCCTATACAGGACAGTTCATAAACCATACGTGGTCAGAGTAGAGGCCAACCTGAGCGCTGCAGGCACCAGAGGGAGCAAAGGCATTATGGTGCAGGCCTACAACCTGGAGCATCCCAGAAGCCTGAACCTGGGCTTGGAGGTCGAAAGGCCTGGCTTTCAGGTTGATTTTGATTTTGAAGGCAGGGGTGGTGGTGGAATTAGGGTGGCACCTTTCAGAAGCCAGGAAACTGGTTCAAAGAGACTTGATTGCTTGCTTTGGGGTCTGGACCAACTATAAGCACACGGAAGTGGCTCTGATTTTCCTCTCATTTCCCATAGCTGCACCATATCATTGATATCAAGGAACATGCAAGCTCCCGGTTTAGTAACTCCAAGTTTGTAGAGAAAGAGCAGATGTAGTTCTTGCTCCTTGAACATCTGCTGCTCACATAAAGAGGCAATGAATGAACCAACAACACAAAACCAAAAGCCAACCAACCAAACAAACAAAAACCACCGAGAACAGCCCAGTGGTGAAAGGCATAGAGAAATTAAAAAAGCAACAAACCCTTTACCACAGAGTGCCTCCGACCTGAATTCCAACAGTTGGGCAAGGGAATCCGTCTGAGGTGACATTAGCAGGGATCAGGCCTGGGTTCCCAGCCAGCGTTGGGAATAGCGGCAGGTATGGAATACCTAGACCAGAGAGAAAGCTGGAGAGGTCTGAAGAGAAAGCCCAGGAGCTCATGCTGGCTACCTGGTTGCCGTACCCAAGTCCACTGGCAAAAACAAAACAGCAGAAACGACCACCACAGGAAACCCGACCCCACATCTCTGAACCCTTAGCAATAGGAAAACTGGCCAACATTTTACTTCCCAGGGAGCCAATCGCCCTTTCCCCACCCACCACCACCCAATAAACTTTGGTGAAGTTCCTAGATCAAGTTCTTTTTGGGCTGGTAGTTTACTGACCTCCCCCGGCCCCCGCCCCGCTCCCCTCAAGAAGATTTTTAAGTGATCTTGCACTCTAACATTTAATGTTTTCCTACCAGGCGACCCGCGGATCTTGATGGTCAGTTACATTTCGTATTTATTTTTTAAAAATTGTTTTTCCTTGTGGCCATTTCCAGCCTGCTAGCTTGCCGGGCTCATCTTGTAAGCAGGCGCAGGCTGAACTTGGTGGGGTGGCCAGGCAGAGTTCACTGAGATGTCACGGTCCGGCCTGCAGGGGTCACAGGCGGGTCAGGCTAAAGGATTGGGAATGGGCCCCAGGTCACGCCCCCGCTGGCCAGTTTTGCACACCGGCCGGAGGCGCTCTCCTGAAAGGGGCGGACCGAAGTTTCTGAGAATTACCTCCAGCACAATTCGTCCGCGTTCCTGCCGGTGCCAGAAATCGGTACGCATTCTTTGCAGTAACCAAATCATTACATGATATGACAGCTGCAGCGCCCGCCTCCCCAGAGCCTCTGAGAAGCTGGGCAAAGAGAGTTATGAGGAACCACTGAATCCCCGAAATACAACCCATGGGCATCCGGCCTTAGAGAGTTGCTGGGTTTGTGCGGTCCTTACGACCTTTGAGGTCACTTTATAACACTCCATGGGAGGGAGGCATTTAGGGACCACCGCAGGAAGGCCACATATTGAACAGCTTTCAGAAAGCAAGTTTTTCATCTCCAATGGACTCTTCCCAAGGGCTTGCGGGCGCACTTTCGCTAGAGCCCGTGTTCAGTTCTAAACAAACAAACGTCCTTCTGTTAGTTTTCCAGGCCACTGGTGCGTTCGGTGCTCAAACCAAGGCAGCGTGTGACACTGGCTGGCCGAAGCGGTGTGCCGGGAGGACGTGGGAGTATGTGTGTGCGCGCGCACCACGCAGTCCCCCAGCGCCGGTTATTGGCTGTAGGAGCTGCCGATTGAAGTTCGACAGTCTCCGGACTCGCTTCCCATAGCATTCCCAATGGCTGATGGTAGAAGCGCACGGCCAAACAACCCTCTTACCAGGCTCCGTGGCTTTACAGTGGGTGGGATCTGGGAGAGTAGAGGGAAGGTCCTAGAGTCCTGAAACCAGACCACCCTATTAGTGCAGCCTAATGTGCTATTTGGAAGCAGAAGCCCCCACTTTGGGAACTCACAGCTGCCTTGGGGTATAGACAGAGTGAAACTGATCAACTCCACCCTAGGGGAAACAGACAACCTGGTGGCTCACCCAAGACACAGGCAAGCCGAGGTGGAAAGGGACTCCTAGGTTTCCTCCCTGTCTTCTTCCCTATAACTGCCTGAGCTGGGGGCCCTCTTCCCGGCCGCTTGGCTGGAGTTGCAAGCCCCAGGGTTATAGGTATTGGGCCGGCTTGGGGGTATTACCACAGCTAGGCGTTGACCACCGGGGCTAGTGCACCTGGAGTCCTAGAGACCTGGAGGCTTTCTTGCTTTGAACTCGAAAGCAGGATTTTCCAAGGCTTCACGCGCTGGCTCGCTTGTGTGCCCACGATCCGCCATTCATACTTGACCTCTGAGACTCTGGCTTGGACCCTAGCCCTGGAATCTTCTTGGGATCCTCACAGATCAGGAAGCGTTTTGGGATCTCATTTACTCAACCTGTGGATCAGGTCCACCGAATGTTGATTCTTGAACGCGCTTTCCGAGCAAATGGAAAATAGTCCATGAGGCGCCTGTAAATGGAGAGCTAGGAAGGCTTCGGGCTTGGGCAGCTGGTCCGACCTGGCGCGGGGGACAGCAGAGAGACAGCTAAGAAACCCAGGACTCCAGATTCCCGCTTCTAGGAACCCCGAACCCACTCCCCCGCGCCCCTAGCGGGAGGCTCCGTGTTAACTCGGAGCTCTGCATACCTAGGACAGGGAAGGCGGTGTTCCTAGCCCCGCACCCCCAGGAGGCGCGCTCAGAGGGAAGCCGCCAGTGCGCCGCCTCTGCCTCGGCGCGGAACAAACGGTTAAAGATTTTTTGGGCAGCGCCTAGTGGGGGGAGGAGCTAGGGGCCCGATCCGCAATTAAAGATGAACTTTGGGTGAACTAATTTGTCTGACCAAGGTAACGTGGGCAGTAACCTGGGGCGGCCTTATAAAGAGGGCGCGCGGCGGGGTTCGGAGCGAGGGCGACGGCGGCAGGTGGCGCGGGAGGCTGCGGGCCATGGGGCTCCCGGCGCTGCTGGCCAGTGCTCTCTGCACCTTCGTGCTGCCGCTGCTGCTCTTCCTGGCGGCGCTCAAGCTCTGGGACCTGTACTGTGTGAGCAGCCGCGATCGCAGCTGCGCCCTCCCCCTGCCCCCCGGTACCATGGGCTTCCCATTCTTTGGGGAAACATTGCAGATGGTCCTACAGGTAAGGGAGCTCGGGAAGGGACCTGACGCTTCTCCGGAGTCCGCCTCAGCTCTGGGCCTGGGCTGAAGGTGGGATAAGTGTCCTCGCGAGGGAGGCGACCACGGCTTGGAAGAGGGGCTAGACTGAGGCCAGATGCTCCCCGGCGCCCCCTCATGCGGATTGCGGGTCTCTCTCCTCCACCTCCCTCTCAGCGGAGGAAGTTTCTGCAGATGAAGCGCAGGAGATACGGCTTCATCTACAAGACGCATCTGTTTGGGCGGCCCACGGTGCGAGTGATGGGCGCGGATAATGTGCGGCGCATCTTGCTGGGAGAGCACCGGTTGGTGTCGGTGCACTGGCCTGCGTCGGTGCGCACCATCCTGGGCGCCGGCTGCCTCTCCAACCTGCATGACTCCTCGCACAAGCAGCGAAAGAAGGTGAGGGAGAACTGGCAACTCCTTGGCTAGCAGAAAGACCTCATTCTATGGCTTGGTTCAGGCAAATAGATGCGGGCCGAGGGTTAGCCCTTTGTGGTGGGGACCAGCACCCTCTCTATTTGAGATCCACTTTAGCTTTTCTGCCAGCACGTGCGTTAGTCCTGGATGGACTGGGATTCTTGAAATGGTACCCGGGAAGGCGAAGGGTGGGTGGTGGTTAGGGGGTGTAGAGGATTGTAACGCTCTTTGCTCCTGGGGGACCTCAGGTGATTATGCAGGCCTTCAGCCGCGAGGCGCTCCAGTGCTATGTGCCAGTGATCGTGGAGGAAGTGAGCAGCTGTCTGGAGCAGTGGCTAAGCTGCGGCGAGCGCGGCCTCCTGGTCTACCCCGAGGTGAAGCGCCTCATGTTCCGCATCGCCATGCGCATCCTGCTGGGCTGCGAGCCGGGTCCAGCGGGCGGCGGGGAGGACGAGCAGCAGCTAGTGGAGGCTTTCGAGGAGATGACCCGCAATCTCTTCTCTCTCCCCATTGATGTACCCTTTAGCGGGCTATACCGGGTAAGGGCGGTTTGGGGAGTCCGAGTGGGGGACTCAGGACTGCAAGCTCGGGCGTCCGCTCACCGCCCCGCTCTCTCCCCGCTCAGGGCGTGAAGGCGCGGAACCTCATTCACGCGCGCATCGAGGAGAACATTCGTGCCAAGATCCGCCGGCTTCAGGCCGCAGAGCCGGATGGAGGTTGCAAGGATGCGCTGCAGCTTCTGATTGAGCACTCATGGGAGCGGGGAGAAAGGTTGGATATGCAGGTGAGGAAGCAATTTAAAAAGGTGCCAAGAGTCTGGGGTGTCTCTAACTTTCCAGACACACTTTCTGGGGGGGAGTCTCCAAAGCCCTGTCCGGGCCCCTAGCTTCTTCCAAGTGGGCGTTGATGGTCGGTCTAGAGCAGCAGTTCTCAACTTGTGTGTCGCGACCCCTTCTTGGAGCCAAACAACCCTTTCAGAAGGGTCACCTAAGAGCATCGTACATATCCGATATTTACATCACGAAGCATAACAGTCGCAAAATTACCGTTATAAAGTAGCAACAAAAATAATTTTATTGTTGGGATCACCACAACACGAGGAACTGTATTAAATGGTGGCAGTATTGGGAACCATTGCTCTAGAGAGCTGTGGAAGAGGTTGGCTGAGCAACCCAGAAGGTCCCAAAGTTCAAAGGGCAAGTCTCCTTGACAAAGGTTAAAAGAACGTTGGGAGGTATTAATAAAATCATGACTTTTACTCGCGGAAGAGTAGGGTTAAGGGAGTTTTGCATTTTTGTTTGCGGTCCTTGACTTATTATGAGCAAAACGTTTTTTACCCTTGAAGTCTTCCGTGCAATATTCTCAGGTCAATTCTTTGTAACAGTGCTGTAAACTGCACGCAGCTCTGTATAAACTTCCGGCTTTTATTCTTAGGCATTAAAACAGTCGTCAACAGAGCTCCTGTTTGGTGGCCATGAAACTACAGCCAGTGCAGCCACGTCACTGATCACTTACCTAGGACTCTACCCACATGTCCTCCAGAAAGTTCGAGAAGAGATCAAGAGCAAGGTAGGAGGACTCTAGAGGTTCCCTATTTGCCTAGGACATTCCTCTATTGCTCCCCTCCCCCTCCCGCCCCCAGTATGTAAGTTTGCTCGCTACCTCGGGTATTGAAGGACCTGAGAGCTAGGTGGGACTGTGGGGGAGAGACTCCACCTTGTGAGTTTAAAAAGGCAGCTCTTTGTCCTGGGATCTCCCTTGGGCAGGGTTTGACCCTCTGCTCCTCCTCCTCCTGCTCCACCTTTCACAGAACGGTACAGATTGCCTGGTTCTCCTCCCTCCCCACATCAAGAACATGAATAGTGTGGTTAGAGCCAATAGCTGATCAGGGTGGGCAGTGTGGGTGAGGGCTCAGAGTATGACCACTTATACCTGGTGAGCAACATTGTCTGGATGAAAATAGATGATGGGCTTAGGCTGAGGACGTGTGGAAGCGATTGGCTATTAGCGGCTCTTCCCCGCCCCCGCCCCTTATCCTCTCCCATCCGGAAGCCTTCCGGTTTCCTTAACAGGTGAGTCCTGCTGGTCTGATTTTATTGGAGTGCCCACAGATCAATCACTCACCTTTGTATCTGTTTCGATAGGGCTTACTTTGCAAGAGCAATCAAGACAACAAGTTAGACATGGAAACTTTGGAACAGCTTAAATACATTGGGTGTGTTATTAAGGAGACCCTTCGATTGCATCCTCCGGTTCCAGGAGGGTTTCGGGTTGCCCTGAAGACTTTTGAGCTGAATGTGAGTGCTCTTCCTATCCCCTCCCCCACCCTGTCCACTCTGCTATGGTTTTGAGCATTAGGAGCAGTGGCTCACTGCCCTTGACTCTGTCCTGCCTCTTATGGTAATGGAAACCAATTCGTCCCTTTGCTCTCCTCTCTTACCGCCACCCATATTGGTGATGACTTTTTTTGTTGTTGCAAGCTCAGGGCCTGGCTTGTTGGTTCTTAGGACTTCATTATTTTTTTTTTAAACAGGGTTACCAGATCCCCAAGGGTTGGAATGTTATTTACAGTATCTGTGACACCCACGATGTGGCAGATATCTTCACTAACAAGGAGGAATTTAATCCAGACCGATTTATATCACCTCATCCAGAGGACACCTCCAGGTTCAGTTTCATTCCATTTGGAGGAGGTCTTCGGAGCTGTGTAGGCAAAGAGTTTGCAAAAATTCTTCTTAAGATATTTACAGTGGAGTTGGCCAGGCATTGTGACTGGCAGCTTCTAAATGGACCTCCCACAATGAAGACAAGCCCCACTGTGTACCCTGTGGACAATCTTCCTGCAAGATTCACCCACTTCCAGGGAGATATCTGATAGCCATTTCAACTCTTGGACTTATTTCCAATGTACATTGGTTTTTTTTTTGTTTTTTTTTTAAATTAGTGTCATGTTGCCTTTATTTAATTTCTAAATGTATAGTATAATATTTATGTGTTTCTGCTACAGCCCCATGGTCTTTAAATATTAAAATAATGAATTTGTATGATTTCCCAATAAAGTAAAGTTAAAAAGTGCTTTTCTTGCTTTTTAAGATTCTTGTTGGCAAGCTTTCCATGGTGGTACATGCTATATAATCCTAACACTTGGAAGGCAGAGGCAGGAAGATCAGGCATTCAAGGCTAGCTTGGGCTACAGAGATCCTGGTTTAAAAGAACAAAACACAACAACAGAAACTCCTCTTAGGAAATCTAACTGGTTAAATGTTTGTGCTTTGTGTGTTTAAAATGATTTAGAATGAAACCATAGGATTCTCCTCCATGTCAGAAAATATGTATTATTATGTGTGTGCTGATCTAAAGGTATCTTTGTAA